GACGAATTTTCTCTTGTTCAGGCTCAGTTCTTTATTAAATCTTATCTAGAGTTCAGCAACTCTTCTAGCTACCAGCTAAAAGCGAGCAAAATGGAGATGAATCTAGCTAAATACAAGGTCTTTTAAAGCTCAAGAGTCCAATAGAGAATTAACACCTATATTATTTATACTTTTGACCCAATAACCAAACTCCTGTGACCCACAGTGCAGCACTAACTGTCCAACCAGAAACTACTACCTGAAATCATGAAGAAGAAGGAAGAAGACTCAAAGAAACAACACCCAAAATCCTCCATCTTGTCCCATATCCATTACTATATTCCAAAATCCCCAATTTTAAAACTCTTTGCCATGTGAAATCACACACTCCTATTTTAACTACACACTTGTGAGTTTAATTCCATCACTCAAATTTGGAAGCCTTCTCTAAGGCCTCTGGTCAAAGCAGTGTTTTCCAGGGAATCAGTGTCAGAAAGCACAGAAAGCTCAAAAAATCTCAGGTGTCTGGATCCAACATTTTGTAGTGGCACAAATCATGAGGTACCTGTGCTTGGGAGCCCAGCTGTTCTCTACACACAGGGGCTGGAATGCTAAAAACAGTCTGAGTTGTGAGTACTGATGAAACAAATCTGAGGCACCTACTTGGGGTCCCATTGCTCTTTGTTTAACTTGCCCATTCCTGTATTGCCCTGTGGGACACCTGCTCAAAAAGAGCAGCAAGACTGTGTTAGAGCTCTGCTAGAAGGACTGAAAGGACATCTGTCAGTGGGAGCTGTGCCAGCTAGCTGCAAAGGCAGAGAAGATCCTTGAGCTGGTGACATGCACAGCTTAGTGAGGCCCCCTTTGACTCAAATTGGAAGACAGTCTTCAGTCTAGGTTCAGATCCCAATCAGCACTTAAAACCTGCCATTTTATAATAAAAGCTTCAGATGGTGAGTGTATATTTGAGGTGGAATGGGATGGAGGGTGCTTTCCAGGGTGTACATGTTTCCAAACTCTCTGTCTGTCAATCCCTGTCACAGCTGGCTCTGCTCAGTGCTAGAGGGAGAATTGCAGTGATCTTCCACAGCATGCACAGGGTGGCTGCTTTGCTCATCCCTGTCATCAAGGTAACCCATGGCCTATTCTGCTGCTGCAATAGAGGCTTCCTGGCAGGAGTTTGTGGCAGGCAAATGGATGGAAGGTTTGCTCCAGCTTGGTGGCTGAAGATCAGTTCAGACACAGACTAGGGGATGTCTTTCAAATATGGAGTTGTATTTTTCTTCTGGCAGATCAAGTGGCTCATGTTCTTGTAGAAGCTTGTAGCTGACTGTGGTGAGGGTGAAGGATACCCATCCTCAGGAATTTGTCTTGAAGTGTTACAGATAAGCCTGGTTTTAATAAATTGCAACAGTACATTTTGAGTTGAGATGTATTTTTAGGAACAATACTGTTTAGTTTTCTGTCTGAATACCATAAGCTTCTTTTGGTGATTTTTTTCTTCTCCTTACATCTCTTTGAAGGAGAGAAAAAAACCAGGAAGTGCAAGATTCTTCTTTAAAAACCTGGATGAAACACACTTTTCATGGAAAATGAAAGTTTTGAGCAATTGTGACCACTTCTGAATGGAATTCTCATGACAGACAGCAAACTTATTTTTCTCACCTGAAATAAGACTGTGCTACTCAGAACCAGGGAAAGGAGAAAATGCAAGTGGGAAATAGGAGAAGGGCTGTGTCAGGGGAGGGAAAGCAAGTTGGAGGTGATTTGCAGGGAAGAGTGATGAAGTTTTTAGAAAGACTTTGTGCTCTCACATTGCTGGGGAGTCCCCAAAATGTTACTGTGAAAAATGAGGACTGTGAAGACATTGATGGTTTTGGGCTGTGGTTGTGGAGGAAGCACCTGGAGAAACGGTTGTGCCTGTCCTCTGCCCAGAAGGAAGTGTTCTCCTTCCCAGTGCCACCTGCCATACTTTCCTGGTGTCACAGCACCTCTGTGCTCAGCACACAATTCAGATGTCAGTGTGGGGACTGTTTTCCTGTGGGAGAAACGTGCTGAGAATGCAGACAGCTTGCCAGGCTGCTTTTTTCATGTTGGTGCTGAGTTTGTTTGTTAAACACAGTCATCCTTCCCCCTTTCCCAGCAGACAAATGCTGTCTGCTTGCATATGCTGGGGGTGGTGAGGTTCAGCATTCAGGTGCTTGGTGCAGGTTACCAGTCCAGCAGAGAAGCAAAGTCTCTCATATTGGCTCCATCAAGGTCAATAAGAGCTGCTCTGTTCTTACTATCCAGAGTGATTAATGCATTTTCTCAAAGAAAAGCTGGCATGCTGTTGCAGTGTGTTAAGAGTTTGCACCTGGGTGTACACTACAGTGCTCTGCCAAGAGAAACTCTGGTTTCCAAGCTTGTTAGCCTGCTGTTTGGAGATTTATATTTTTTGTTTGTTTCTTTCTCTTTTCTTTTCTTTTTTTTCCCTTTTATTTTTTATTTTTTATTTTTTTGGAAATCCTCCCACATTAAATTAAAAAAGAGAACTTAGTAAAAGAAACCAGAAGGGATGGTTTGAGATGCTTCGTTTGCCAGCAGTCTCTGAACTTGTGACCCTTTAAAATAAAGTACTTGGGCTTTCCTGTGGGATGGCTCCTTCTGGGTGGAGGCAGGTTTTCAGGCTTACATGTCTTTAGGAAGGGGCCTTTGACAGCACAGGAGAAGTTGCAGTGTAGAATTCTCAGCTGGGACTTCCAGCAAGGAAAATTGTTCAGCTGATTGGGGACTGTGATAAATCATGGTTCCCTTGGAGCACGCTGGGACTGCAGAGAGCTGGAAATAAATGCTAGGGAAATTCTTCTTTTGTAGTGGGCTGTCTTTCAGGATGATGTATGACTTTGTAACAGAAAGAGATCCCTTTGCTAGAACTGGGAGAAAACTGCTGCCTTCTATTACCCCAACAATTCCATTGGTGTAAATCCAGTCTGCAGGCTTGCCCTGAAAACTTAGCCTGAGAAACAGACTGTGTGGTACTGGTGGAAAAGAGCCACTGAGAGCCCAGGGTGGTGGCAATTGGTTGGGACAGGAGGTTTGACAAGGGGAATGCTGGTGGCAGGTGGCCAGCACAGTAATGACTTACCCAGTGTGGCTGGGGAAGATGTTTGGATGGCATGGGATGCCATTTACATCTCTGCCTCTTGACTGCCACGTTGTTCTGGGCAGGTAATTTCTGTGGATGGATAAAATGTCTTTTGCTCAAATTGCAGTCATGGGAACCTATGTCACTGCTTTCTTCCACTTTCATCCCAATCAACTTGGGATGCTTGGCTGTACTGGTAGACTTGTTACCTGGTGGGGATCTGCCAGTGTTTTGTGTTCTCTGTTCTCAGTGACAGCTTGGGTTGCCTAGAAGTTGGAGAGAGCCAGAGTTCTGTGTTTGTGTAGCAAATGGAGGGTCTACTCTAGTTATTAATGATGTTATTCTGTGTATAGATTTGTCTGCATTAACTATGTCCTCTTCTGGACCGGGTTTTGGTAGCAATTTTAAAGAGACCAAAAAGCTGGAGCCAGCCTCTTGAGGCTACCATGGCCAGGTAAACAGAGGAGACAGCTTTTTCCCAGGGAGAAGCAGCAGAGTCACCCTCTGCTCATGCCAGGGCTCTGCTGCTTGTTCCAGACAGCAGCAAGCAAAGGTTTCTTTCCATGCCCACATCCCAGACCAGTGACATTGGCAAATGCTGTTGTGCTGACTGAGATGCTGAGATGCAGAATAGAGGAATCGAGTGCTGCATCAGAACCAGTACCATGTTGTGTCAGAGGAAACTCCGAGTTAACCTTTCTTAATTCAGTTGCCACAGAGCTGATTGCAAGTTTCTGATATTCAGGCAAAGGTCCATGTTCCATTTGGTCTTGGCAGTGAAAGTGAGATGATTGGTAAAGTACATTGGTTGATCAGTTATGTTCCTAGTGTAGCAATGGGATGTTTTTTCCCCTTAAGTAATGTAAATGTTGGCTTAACAAGAGAAGTAAAAAGAAATTTCATCAAATCTGATCATTGTTGCAGACAGTGCCTTAGCATTGTTCCTTGTCTGTCTGACCGAGTTCTCTTCAACTATATCATTAATTAATTTGCTCTGTTTTTTTATTTTTCATCACCCTATACAGGCTTCTTGTATGAGTTTTAAGAGCTCTGTTTGTAATCTGTTTATCTCTGAAAGATGTGCTAGGCTTGGTCAACTGCCTCATCACCTGTGTTTACTTTGTTCAAATTTTCAAAATGGTATCCATACACTGTGCAGGATCAACTCAGCCAGGATACTCCAGGGGTATAAGTTTTTCTACTCAAATGGTTTCTAGTCTGTTTCTCTGAGCTGTGAATGTCAAGTGATCCATCTTTTGCTGACTTTTGACTGAAATTCAAAGGATTTTACAAAATTGAAAACTGTGTAAACTTAAATCTAGCGAACTGATCCACAAGGGGACAAATAACTGGTGTTTCTCTAGTGAAGTGGAAATGGTAGGTTGGCTTTCAGGTTGGATTGGGACCAGTGCAATGTGTCTGAAGCCTGCAGCCTTTAGATATACACTGCTGAGCTCAGGTGCTTCAGTGCTGTCCTCCAGTCTTACACACGCATTGCTCACCTGGAGATGGTGCAGTGCAACTTCTCAGTAAGGATCTGAGCTGTGACTTACCTGGTTCCTTCACAGGAACTAGGACAATGCTGGTGGTTGCCTCATGCAGGCTTTAATGAGGAGTGAACACCACCTCGTTGAGAGTTACACCTATAGGAATGAGTGGCACAAGGAATCCTAGCTAATCATCTCATTTTGGTGGATCTGTGCTGCGACTTCATGTACATGCTGTCACTTGGCCTCCACTGATGTCCACTGTTTCTACTTTGAGAACTGCAGCAGCCTTTGGCCTTTTTCTGGTCCATGAAGTCATTGCCTTTTAGGTATGATACAAGCCAGATGGGAACTGTACCTTCCTTCCAAAATAAAAACTAAACTAATTGCACTTTGTTTCTCTCCAGCTGCCTTTTGGGGAGATATCGCTTTAGATGAAGATGATCTGAAGTTGTTTCAAATAGACAGAGCTGTTGACTTAACAAAGCTCTCAGATGGCAACGCAAGACACACTTCAGGTAAGGGCAGCCCTGGGGTGGGGATGCTTTCTTTCAGCTGCTTTTGTCCTTAGGGAAGGGGGATTTCCATTTCACTCGTCATACTGTTCCCACAGCCAGGGTTAGTTATGGCACCGAGGGTGGGATCCAACTCTGAACTCTGTTAAATAAAAAACAAGTCACAATTTGATGTAGCCAAATCCTATCTTGTCTGAGGAAGAGTTTCAGATTTATAGCACTAGTCTCTTTCTATGAGGAAATACCTTTTTGCTAATTTGGAAGGACGTGTGTTTGCAGTTGGGTCACTCAGTTGGTGAGGAGTTCTGACTCTTACTGTGCTCCTTTTTCTTTTATTGTATGATCTTAATGGAATGACACATCTTTTCAGCTGTCTGCCTAGTAAAACCCACTGCAGTCAAGCATACAGACCGCCTTAGAAGTCATATTCTAATCAAAATATGTTAACAATTGTGCTGATTTTCTGTAAAGCCTGTGCTCATTTTGTCCCCCTATGCAACTCTTAATGTATGCTCAGTGTCATGCCAGACCAAACGTGTTTCTTGACTCAGGAGCTCTGACTGGACTCCAGCTCTAAGAGTGTCTGAAACACTGCAGCTGGTTCAGAGGGCTCCCCACAGTGTTTTCCCCTCTAGTTCACTTTATGCTGCAAGAGAAAAATAGCTGTAAGTGCGAGCTCTGAGAGGTACCAGAGGGACTGGAGACAAAGAAGATCAAAACCAACTTCTTCTGGGTTTTTTTGCTATTCTGCCTCTAGGTTAGCAAGTAGGATGAGAGGGTGGGTAGAGGCAAAAATCACTGAGAGGCAAAAACCTCTTGCCTAGTTTTGGCTTCAGAGCATCTAAGTACCATGTAGATTTGATTCTGGGGGTGAGTGGTCCAGCTTCCTATTGGGATGAGTGTGAAAGAAAACATATCCAACACAGGCATATTTAATTGTCAGTGTAGCTGAATTCATGATAGAGAAGGGCTTCAGATTATGGGTAGCTCCCTGGTAATGCCATTGTCCTGCATTGCCTTGTCACTTAGCCCATTCATATCATGCTTTTGGCTGTCACACATTCTTAGGTGGTGGGTTATTAGGAGCAGAAGATTTATTAGAAAATGAGAAATAAGTGGGATAGGCAGCATTAATCTCTTTCACATCTCTTTGTTGATTCTTGAAGCTAGATGAGGACACTACTGGGAAAGCAAAGTCAGATGATGTTTGAATGTATCCATTTTTTCTGGTAACTTTTTTTTGTTATTGTGTCTAGCACATTTCTTTTGCTTGGCACTGGTGCCAGACTCGTGCCATCTGGAAAATGAACTGTATTTTATAACTCACATCTGTATCATGTAATGCTGGCACTGCTCTCTTACAGCCATGGCTCATGTAGTGTGGTTGAACCAGTCTCTTCGTTGCACTTTTTACTGGTGCATCATACAATGCTTTGCCTTGGGTGAATGGAGATGTCACCTCACTCACTTTCCCTTGTCCTCATCTCTAGAAGGTTTCATTTGTCCCCCTGGGAGTGCAGTTGACAAATGGGCAGCCCCTGTGACTGTGATGCTTTCTGCAGAGCACACACAGAGGGATCTCTGTGGTCACCTGCCCTGTGAGGGGCTCTCTGCAGGGTAGGAAGGGTTGATTTTTCTCTTGTGAGGCTTGTTTGACACCCATGTGAATTGTAAGAGGGTGGCCTACTTCAGCATGATGGGGATTGGGCTCCATTCTTCCCTGGGAGAAAATCCTACTCCCTGCTTTATTTCCAGTGGGAAGAATGCAACCTCTGTACAGAAACAGCCTAAGACCCTTTATGAATGGAACCTCTTGAATTATAACATTTCAGAGTCTCCTAAAGCTGTTAATCGGATTAGTTGTATAGTGGAGGAAGTACTTAATACCTATATACAGACACACAGGCTCTTCCTCTCTAGGAGCTGCAGTTCTGAACCTGTTATTAGGTCAGGCATTCTTCTTGCCTGGTGTTGTTCCCTTGTTCCCAGAAAATGCAGTTCAGCTGGAAGGAGAAAGGAAAACTGTGCCATTTGACAGTGCTGGGCTGTTTATAGGTGTGCACCCTAATAGCTTGTGTGGAGCATCTGCAGCTGTCAGGCTCTGCAGGAAGATTTGAGGTTCCCATGTACTTAGGAGTGATGTGACACATGGTCCTCTGGACCCAGTGGCATGTACAGCTTGAGGGGAAGCTTTGCCTTGGCTGGTAAAGACAGAGACTGTCAAATGTTTCAAGTTTTTCCCCTTCTTCACTCTCTCCCTGTCATTGTCTAGAAGATAGCTAGGTACTTCTCTGGGTCCTTGAGAGAGAGGGGCAGGGAATCAGAGAACTGCTTGGATTCTGCACGGATTTCTGTCCTGAGCTTAATTTCACAGCACGAGTGTGCTTCAGGCTTGTTTTCTCCATTAATTTCCTGCTTGCAGAAACACCATGGTCATGTTTCAGAAACTAAAGATTTGTGATCCTGCTTGAGAGTAGAATGCCTTGAAGTTCAGTGTTTCCAAGCATTTTCTCAGCAAATATTTGAGTAGTGTTTTATTCCTAGCATCTGAAAGCAAAGGAGCAAATAGCATTGTCTCCTTGGTAAAGTCACAGAGCAGGATCATGGTTCCTTCCCTCTGAGGAATGCTGGCTCAGAGCTCTCTGGCAATCCCCTCAAAAACTGCTCATGTGGATTTGGTACCTTACTTCAGTGCTCCAGCAATGATATTCCTTTTTGGCTTTGTCTGGATTTCTCTGTCCAGTATACCCAGGTTCTTTTGTTAGTGGTCACATTGGGAGCTAACATTACACAGGGAATTGCATCACTTCTGTTATGTGCTTAAAGCTTTCTGGAGTGAAGCCTATGACCTGATAGTCCTTACTCATGTGAGCAGTCTCATCTGCTCCAAAGGAGCTTCCTTCCTAAAAATTTATCAGGAAGAGTATTTATCAGGTCAAGTATCTGAAAACTGCAGTAGGTTTTCAATAGCAATCTTGTGTACAAACATCCTTCCCTGGTGAATTTACACAAATGGAGTTTTCTTCAGGCCCTGTTGAGGGAAAGGCAGGCATGGTGGTGGCTGTGGCTGAGTGGAACCCATTTAATCCAAGTAGTTGTTAGAAGTCTGCATGTTGATCTGCACTGACTTGGTTAAAGCTCTGAGCTGTGGGACTTAGTGGAGGGTATTTGCATGCAGTGCAGATTAACTGTGAGTGAATGCCAGGAGATGTGCTCTACCAAGGGGCCTCAGAGCTACCAACTAGTTAATTTCTTGTCATGACCCTTCCATGATTTCCCTGAAGGTTTTTTCCAAAGTGCTGTCCTCCAACCCAATTTTAGATTGTGATCATTACATGACTTCTGGGCTCCTTTCCACACGTCTCTCAACCTCTGCTCTGTTTTACCTGAAACCGAGTTTTATTCTAATGAGTGATCTGGCAAAAGACCTGTTTAAAGTTGAACATTTCACCTTTCTTTGAGTTGAGATAAGATTTTTCAATTTTCTAAATCAGGATTTTTTTCCCCCCCTCATTGGCTGTTCTCCTTTGAACCTAAGTCCTAAACTCAGAGACTTGCTTGTGATGTTTTTGTTTGTTGCTTTATATTGTAAGAAATTTTGCAAACCAAACTATGGCCTCCACATTACCTGCTCACACTGCTATCGCCATCTGTAATCCATATAAATCTGCCAAACAAGGAATTTCTCCTCTTCCTTAAAAATGTTTTCCAGCTAGAGAAGGAGCAAACAATGAGGCATATTGTTAAAATGCAGGTCGTAGCTGCCTCCCTATCTCTGTGGGATCGAGTTTAGATATTATGTTTACTATGAAAATCAGGTCTTCTCATGCAGTGGTGTTGAAATGGATACCCTTAGGATTTGGACCTGTAGAGAGACAGTAATGGTTCAGAACATAACGAAATGAATCTGTTACCTGGGGATCTGCCAGTGAGTGCTAGTTCAGCAAGCCCATGCATCACAACTCCTAATCACTTTGATGAAAGATTTTTCAAAAAGCTTGCAGTTTTAAAAGTTTCTCTTTTTTTTTTTTAACTTTAGTGAAAATATTTGCTTTTACAATATAATTTAGTTTAGAAGAAATTTGACTGAAAGCTTTGAGGATTTATCTGCTGCAATGGGAAAAAAGAGAATCCAGAGGCAGGCTGGGAGATTTCACAGTGTCACCTCTCTTTTGGACCCACATGAGTCCACTGGTACAAGGTGATTATCTGCTGAAGCACTAGCCACAGAGGAAGAAGACCTTATTTCTTGTCATGCCTCTTAGAGGTATGTGCCTGTTTAATACTGACTGCCTTGATTTAAGCTTTTATGGACATTTTAGGGATTATGAGGACTTTTCTGATACATTACGCCTTTACCTGATTTGTGTATCACAGAGACAGTTTTGAGTCCTGAAAGGCACCTCTGTGAGTAAGAAGGGAAAGTTTGTCTCTTCAGGGTTTGGCAGCAGCAGATCAGAAACCACGGGAGTCTGGCTGCCCTCACTGATGCCATGCTGTGCTGGGCTTGCTGCTAAGAAGCCGACTCCATATCCCACTGTCACCAAGAATGCTTTTCAAGAACAGTCAAAACAAGTTTTGTTTGCCTCTCACCCTGAGAAGTCTTCAGGCTCATGGCTTGAAGGCCTTGATGAGCCTTTCACTCTGCTACAAATGACTGGCAGAAGAAATTCAAAGAACACCTTTTCTAGCTAGAGTATTGCTTCAGATAACAGTGCAGCTAGGAGAGGGATGTATTTGAACCCAGGCTCTCTGCTGAAATCAGGAGAGACAGAGGCTGCTGTCAGTGACTGGAGGCTCTGACAGCAAATTCATGCAAGTAATTCTCTGACAAATGAGGCAGACAGGAATTCTGCATTAAACCCTGTCTTAAGAGCAGGGACCTGGTTCATTGGCAGCAGCTCTGCTCTTTTTGAGTGTGCTGTGACGATACAGGCAGCCACTTTGCTGCCTCACCACATCTGCACAAGGACCTATCTGCAGCAGGATGCTTTGCTTGTTCT